TTAAGGACAGGAAATCTGAGACACTAGGGCGCGCTCCAATTTTCTCTAAAGAACAAGAACGGGAAATTGCCGAACAAGTAAAATCTCTCGCAAGGTTATTCTTTGGAATAACGCCCACTGAGTTACGACAGGTGGCTTACAAATATGCCGAAATAAATCATATCAAGCATCGTTTTAATAAGGAAACAGCGATGGCAGGGCCAGACTGGTTTAGAAGTTTTCTTAAGAGGAATTCTGATATTTCTCTGAGAAAACCGGAAGGGACCAGTGTAAGTAGGGTGTCTGCCTTTAACAAACTGGAGGTTGATAGATTTTTTGATAATCTAGAACAAGTATTAACAAAAAACAAATTTGGCCCGGATCGGATATATAATGTAGACGAAACAGGGGTGTCTACAACACCAAAAGAAGTCGGTAAAAGGCTGGCACCAACTGGTGTGAAACAGTTTGGTACTATTTGTTCCTGGGAACGTGGGAAAAACATTACCGTGATCTGCGCTGTCAGTGCCACAGGAAACTTTGTGCCCCCCTTATTTATTTTTCCTCGACTGAGGATGAGTCCTCATCTCCAAAAAAATGGACCTTCTGGTTCTATTTATACGTGCACAAAAAATGGATGGAGCAACGAACAAGTTTTTGTAATGTGGCTGAAACATTTTCAAGCAAAGGTATCTTCTACTGTTGATAATCCAGTATTGCTTGTATTTTGTATTGGATAATCATTCCAGCCACATTTCATTGCCCATTTATGAATTCTGTAAGAGTCATGGAATAATTATGGTTAGCATTCCGCCCCATACATCACATAAGTTGCAACCCCTCGACCTTACTTTCTTTGGACCACTTAAAAACGCATACAGCAGACAATGTAACCTATTTTTGAAGAGAAAAATTTCTAACCCACAAGAAGGAAACACATTAACTCCTTATGATGTAGCCGAAATTTTTAAAGTGGCATATGAGCAAGTGGCAAATGTGGAAAAAGGAGTTTCAGGTTTTGCCGCCGCTGGAATATATCCACTTAATTCTGAAAAATTTTCAGAAGAAGATTTTGCACCAGCCGATAGCTTTATGAGTGAACAACCTTTAAAGGAAATTCAATTGCATCAATCACCATCATCTAAACATCTACCTCAAGAACTATCTCCACAACCATCTACAAGCACACAATCAGTGCCTTTGCTACCATCAACAAGCAAACAACCAGTACCGTCAGCAACAGAGCTTTATTTTATACCGGAACAAATTCCAATTTCAACACTTTTACCTGTACCCAAAGCACAGGCCAAGAAAATTGAGAAGAATGTACGTAAAAAGCAGCATTCAGAAGTCTTAACTAGCACCCTTTTCAAACAGAATTTGGAGGAAAAAGAAAATAAACGAAACCGAAAAGCCATGGCAGTAGCAGGGAAAATAAATGCAACCGTGAAAACAAAGAAGAAAGGCAAAGTTGTGAGAAAAGTTTACAAGGAATCTGACTCTGACAGTGAAATAAGTGTCGACGAAAAAGAAATATGTGACGACGATGAACTGGACGATATTAGCAATGCTTCTGAATACGACCAATGTATTATTTGTGGAGACACTGGAACAAAAAATGAAATGTGGTATAGGTGCACTATTTGCGGTTATTGGGCACACAGTGAGTGCAGCGGTGTTGACTCTCCTAAAGGTTTTGTATGTGACTTATGCCAAAATTGAGTGTTTTGTTTTTACTGTGTTTAATGGCATTATTACTTGAATTTAGCTTTTACTTTGTAAAATGAAGGTTTTAGTTGTTTTGTTTTATTTTAATTTTATATAATATATTTTTATTTGAGTCAATTTGTTAGCCTTTATCACCATAGTGCATTTTAATAAGTGCGTCAACTTACCCAAACCCCAAGGAAAAGACGACGCAATGCAATTTTTTCAGAATGTTATGCCTACCAGGTTTTTATGAGACTAAAAAAAATAATGTGGGTATATAATAATTACCAACACTGCCATATAGTTATTTAACGGATTTGGCATTGTTCGTGCAATAAATAAAAAAACAGTAAGCGATTCCTGTTAGGTGCGTCATCTTCAACCACTCTCCCCTAGTACTTAGCACTAGTAAACAGTGCATCCCGTTTAAAGCAAGGCCCATGGGCGGGAATACTAAGGGTGGTACTTGGTGGGATAACGAGTTGAGCAGGGCCCGACGAGCAGCCAGGCGTGCCAGGAAGCTGTATCAGACAGGTAGGGCGGGAGAATCCGCAACGCAACTCCTCCGAAACTATAAAAGACTACGCAGGGAATATAAAAACCTCATAAAGTCCAAAAAGACTAACAGCGTGCGTAATTTCCTCACCCAGAACAGCTGCGATAACCCGTGAGGGGTAGTGTACAAGATTTTAAACACCAAAAAGGCTAAGCACAACCGGTTCCCGCAGACGTACCAAAACCCGGCAACTGGCGTTTGGGCTACAAGCGAGTCCGAGTCGGAAAGGGGTCTCATCGAGACTTATTTTCCGGCGGACGATAGTTGGGTCGATCTCGAGGGAATTATTTCAAGCAACGGTCGGCACACGTCACCCGACGATCCTTGTATGACCACAAGCGAACTCCTGTACATTATCAGAAACGCTAAAGATCACAAGGCGCCCGGGCATGACGGAATAGGAGTTTTAGTCTGTTATCAGTAAGGCACAGCTCGGGTGGGGCGACTAACGGTCTTCCGACGAGTAAATGTCCTGGAGTCAACACGTCGCTACCCTCGCGGGGGTCTGAGGAAATCATTCCAAGCGGGCGACTATTAAGCACAGCTTCGACGCGCGCGAAAAAAGTGCTGAGCTCTTCGAACGTGAGGATTGTATTCCCAATTTGCCGGTACATTAGTAGTTTCATCGACTTAACTGCAACTTCAAAGATTCCTCCAAAATTGGGCGCAGCGGGTGGATTGAAACACCACTTCACCTTTAGCGATGCGAGCTGAGTGTACAGTTCGTCTTGATGATTCTTGAGGAAAGTCGTAACTTCCTTCAGCTGTCGTGCGGCTCCTAGATAGTTCCGCCCACAGTCACTGTGTAAGGTAGCAGGAAGAGAACGACGGCCACAAAATCTATGAAAAGCAGCCATGAATGCAGCGGTGGATAGTTCGGTAACAGCTTCTAGATGTACGGCTTTGCTTGCAGTGTCCACGAAAATGCAACAGTATGACCTATGGCGTGGACTATTGCGGCGGGTGGTCTCCTTGGTCTCAAAGGGGCCTGCAAAATCCGAAGCGGTCGTGTAGAATGGCGGAGCGGCGAAAGCAAGGGCGACACATGTAGATTCTCTGGCGAATCAGCGAATGCGCGGCTAGTATCCAAAATTTCCTCTGGATGAAACTCATCGTTTGGCGGGGGCCTGCGTGTAACAATTGTCTATGATAATAATCACAGATTAGTGACGAGAGATGATATTTCTTGGGGAGTAGAAGCGAGTATTTGCTTTCAGATGGTAGCAAGCTATGTCGTAAGCGACCGCCCACCCTTTTATAATTCAACAATTTTTTTTTCTGGGATATAAGTGTACTATATTAATTTTAATTTTAACCCTTCTGTGTAACTCAATAAATGGCTATTATTATTATTATATATCATAGCTGGAGGGAGAAGGGCTACCGTTTTGGAATTCGTAAAACTCTTCAGCGGGGCCCTCAAAAATAAGTTCTGTTCACAAGTTTCATTATTTAGATTTTGAAAAAATGGACGATAAAAATTAATTGTTTCATACATCAGTCTTACTTACAGCTTCTAAATTTGACTGGCTTTGAATTACAGGATTACCCTCTGATAAAAACCAAGCATGTCGTAACACCATAGTTTTGGAGTATAAGCATTTGCTGCAGCTCCGCTTTACATAAATTTCTTCATCTGTTGCATTTCCTTTAAATATTGCGTTCGGATGACATGAATTTTTTTAATAACGTCATCCTCGGTTAAATTGTCACACATCGTGGGATATTTGCCAACTAACTCGCTTTTTATAATTTTAATAGCGTCCATTCCTCGTATTCTTGTCTTTGTATTCTTTTAATGAGGTAATATAAAGGGTTGGTTGTGCCTCGTAAAGAGTTATTAAATCTTTTATTAACTCCCGTGTCCAAGTAAATGCAGTTTTTTCATAGTAACTAACGAACGCTCTTAATAAATTCAAAAAGTAACAAACAAAAAATAAACCAAAAGGCTTGAAACATATGCACAAAAGTAAACAATGAAGTATAATCAAACGCACATAATCATATATACCAACAAAAACTGAAATAGCGCCAATATATAAAACGAAAGACTCTAGAAAGTTACTAGAAATGTTTTGGAGAAGACAGATATGTGCGAAAACGTAGTAAAAACGAGATTAAAATGAAAATACTTTTACTTGTCAGAAAAACGCATTGACAAATTTGTTAAACAACTATTCAAACTCTCAATGCTACACTGATCAAAACTGATCTATACAAATATATTAAACAAATCAGTGTTGCTATTTATCTCCACAAAATGCGTCAGAAAATAGGACATGCTCTAAATCGTGCATTTCCATGCGCAAGTACAATTTCTGCAATAAAAATGTAGTGCGAATACAAAAGATGCATGCAGTTTGATGCGGCATCGAAATGCACAAATGGGAACCCCGCTTTAGGATTTTGTACTGTCGTAGTAGAACCGGGTTACTTTGCCCACATATTTCATTTGAATTCATCATATTTTTTTTTATTAACATTATATTGGTTTATTAATATATACTACACATATACCTAACAAAAGGTGATGTGCATGATACATTTAAGAAACCCTAACGCCTCAATTGCAACTGAAAAAAAAATAAAAAGTAGGTGGGCAAAGTTAAACACACTTTGGGTTTCTTTGCCCACTTCATAAGAATTGTATATTATGGCATAATTAGGCCATGTATGGGTAACTTTGCCCAAGTAAAGTGATTTTAAACTTATTTTAAAGCATAGTTGATTTTAAAAATACACTTTTTCCATCAAAAATACCAATATATTTTGTCAAAACGCTTAAAACTAAACAAAAATTCTTAAGAACTATAAAACAAAATTTAGATTCTAAATATTAAACATAAAATAAAACGTAAAATATCACTCTAAGGTAGGTAGATACATAAAAACAAGGTTCAACATTTTACTTTAAATTAAAACTGGGTTTTATATCACTAAAAATATAAATTCCCCTCCGTTTCTCAGTCCCCTGCGTCAAAACTTGTTTGACATCTGAAATGTTAATTATAGATGTATCCTCCATGGGAGGAAATATAAAACCAGCCAGGCCTTTCTTCATAAACTTCACAAAAAGCGAGTCGTTTTCATCATCTGTTTCTAACACAACTGCCACATAATGGTATTTTAGAAACTTTTTTCCTTTAATCTCTACAACTACGTGGTCGCCAACTTTTATTTGTCTTTCTTCAGGGTCGCTTCTAGTCTGAACTTCTGATTCTACGTCCTCAACTTCAGATTCTACGCTGTCAACTTCAGGTTCTGCATCCTGAACTTCAGATTCTATGGCCGGAACTTCATATTCTACGCTTGTTTTATTCTGGGCAATGGGGAGATCTGCCACTGAAACTGATGCTCCAGGTTCAACGTGCAACATTTTCTTTTTATTCCTTTGAACCCTTTCGCCGCGTTTATTTTGGGATTGCAAAAAGTCTAATAAGGAATTATCAATTTCTCGTGAAACTCTTTCTTTGTACCTTGCTGTGGGCATTTTCTTTAAAACTTCATCAGGACAAAGGGGGACAATTCCAGTCGCTCTAAATCCATTTTTTATATTCTTCTCCGACTTCAGTTCGATCGTCTTTATTAGCTTGGCCAAAAGACCTGGGAAAAACGATTTCTCCACACAGTTTTGAGAGGGATATTTTAGTTTGACATCTTGCAAGATTGTCCGCCAAGCCTTTTTTAAGGGCCCAAAGAAACTGACATCCAAAGGCTGTGTTATGTGGGTCGAATTCGGAGGTAGAAAGACAAAACGGATGTTGTTCCTTTGACAGGCAAGCAACACATCAACATTAAGGTGAGAGGATAAATTATCCCCTATAACAACTTTGGGTCCTTTTAATCTTCTTGCCCAAGGAATCACAACTTTATTAAAATAATCAACAAATGTACCAGCGTCAAACCATCCACTTTTCGTTCTGTTATAAATTGTGTTGGGTGGACCTCCTTCTATCCAAGAACTGTACATTCGCTCGGCTTTGTACACTACATAACATGGCAAGAGTTCACCAGCTGCGGTTGCTGAGAACATAAGAGAAATGGCACTTTTAGTGGTGTTCATTCGTCGTTCGGGATATTTGGTTCCTCGGAAAAATATGCACTTCGTGGTTCCTAAAATATTAAGATTTAGATTAAAAAAACTTTAAGCTATAATAATGCTGACCTGGGTTATCGCTTAGGTTGGTCTCATCATAATTCAAAATATTTTGAGGAGGAACATCTTGCAGAGTCGTCTCTAAATTTTGAAAATAACTTTCAAACTCTTCTGAGGTTTTTTCAGCGCGGCATCTTTTAATATTCTGGCAGGTCCTTTTCGTTAGTTTGGTTTTGTTCCTCTTCAAGAACAAATATACCCAGTCTCTTCCTGGCAAATTTTCTTTAAAACAAGTCAGAGAGATCCCCTTTTGGTCCAGATAATTTCTAACCAGCATTCTTAGGTCTAGTTCTGTCATAGGACTCCCAAATTCTGCACTTGCTATTAGGACGTCCACTAAGCTTCTTTCTTCTGCTTGAGAAAGACTCTTTGGTCGACCAACATCGCCGGTGTGTATATGTTTCATTTTATTCAACAACGTCCTTCTCGGGATGTTGTACAGGGTTTCAGCCCTCCGACTGCTCATCCCCTCTTTCATTGCTTGCAAGGCCCTTTCTAATGCACTAGCTTCGTAGTCCATATATTTTCGCGCCCCTAGCCGTCTTTTATACTTTCCCATTGCTGAAATAATTATGTCGATGCTATAAGTTACGATCATTGACGTATAATTGTTTGAAAATAAATCTTAGGTTTCATCACAAAATTGCGGATAACATTGCCCACTTTTATTTTTTCAAATTTATAAAAAAATAATTTTTTAAATATTAATCTGTGGATATATTGAAGTAATTAATGGTCATATAAAACTACTGTCAATAGCTCAAAACTACAACCCAAATACGTATCCCGCACCAAACCTTACAATTTACGTAAAAAATAAGACAAAAAAGAGTAATATTTACCTGCGAACTATGTGTCACCACGCGCACTCGAGAAATGCATGTGAGCAGTTTTACACATGCTATCAACCTTGAACATGCATACCCCCACGCATTCACCATTGCCACAGTTGCCAAATGGATAATTTCGAATTTTTTAAATTGCCTAGCATGTGGGCAAAGTTTGGCTTAATGGGCAAAGTAAGGCGATTCTACGGTATA